GCCACAAATTCTCCTAAACCACTCGTATGCACAACTTAAGAACAAATCTGTTTGTAAGAAGGATTCTTGCATGAGACCCACTGAGTTTAAGTTCAACAGTTCTGACAAGCTAACAGCTAGTCTGAAAACAGTATGTCAAAGACTCACTGCCATCTTAAAGCATCTCCAATCCTAAAATGTTTRGAGTGGTTCATGTGAAGTTCTTTTTGTTAAACATAAACATGTTTGGTATCTACAGAAACATCAGAAAAATTAACTATTTCAAAGGTAACAGATCTTTGTAATACTTGGTTTATTTACATAATGACTTTAATTGCTGGATGTTCGGCCCCTGAGCTGTTGCCTGCAGTAACTGTGGCCCCTGGAGCAGTTTTAATTGAATAGCCCTGCTTTAGGACTTTCAGCAATCTTTCTACCAAACAAACTATGTATACTGAAGATGCAATAAAGGGTTAAATAATAGTGTTTGAGTGAAAGTGTGAAATTTTAAACATTGGAGTTGTTTTAAGACAGCAAATCCCTTTGGTCTTAGTTACTTTCCAGACTAGCTGTTAATCAGTCAGACTCTTTTTCTGCAAACCGAAGCATTCAAAGAGCTATCTACAACAGGTAAGACATTGTTCATAACATTTCCACAGAATGTCACTTCAAAATGGCTCCTGTAAGACTTGCTATGTTAAGCTAATAAAGCTCTAGTCCGATTAATTCACCTCAAAACTGTCAGTTATCTATGTGCTAATTTATTCCTCATTATCATCAATCATTTTTCTTTCAGAGCAAATAATATTGTATAAAAATGAATGATCACTTATCCTGATAAATGTTATTGTAACTCCACCAATCACTGGAAATTATGGCAAATGCCAGCATCACTGAAATCACAAATAAACAAACTGCTGCATTAACAGCTTTTGTCCTAAATATCTCTGCTGTAGTGTATTTGTGTTGTTAGTAGCTAGCAATGCCTCCATGTCAGCATTCCTCTATTTGTATTACAGTATGTTAAAGGAAAAAAAGCAGGTAGGTGATGTGTTTTGTTTTCAAAATAAAATGTAATAACTACGGTCCATGAAGTGGACCTTCCTGAGATGTTTTTGTAATCTTGGTGGTGGTTTATCCCTTCAGGCCCGGACGGAMCGCACTGACATCGGTACTCTACTCATCCCTGAAATCAAGATGGCTGACTCAGGAACTTACATGTGTGTTGGAAGCAACAGCGTCGGGTCGAACAGTTCTCCCATAAGGGTCAATGTGCTTAAAGGTGAGGCAGCAGCATATTTAAAAGGAAAACTGTTGACCTATTGGTGTCATTTGTAATTTATTTATTTAGCAGGACAGTGCATATTAGTAACAGTACATCTGTAAAATGCCAGAATTAGCCAAAGGCTAGTTTTCATCTGTAGTCCTGGTGGCCAGTTCTACAG